CTGCAGTGGTTACTTAAAAGTTGTGGTCTCAATTAAAAAAAAAAAATTAATTGTCACCGTAGCTTTTTGAACAACAGCTTATTCTTCGTTAGCTTGGCAATTGCTTCTTCAAACAGTTGCAGCTACCCCAAACAAATCCAAAGACTATCATTTTTAGTCAAAATGAATACTTTCATATATGATGATTCTCGCTATGTCCAAGTAATCATCAACATTAACATTGAGAGAAAAATCTTTAAATATTAGAATATTCTGGTAAATTTTCTAAAAAAAGAGCTAAATTTGTTCATATTTTATGAGTAAAGCAGCATCATCAATCCTTAGTTCATGAATAAAATACACAACACAAGAAAAGAGAAGAAAGACATGGAAAGGTGATGAAGGAATATATAAATCGATCGGACACACATTTATGGTAGATGCTGATGCGACAATGGACGCAAAATATGTTCTTCGACATGCTCTCGTGGGTCCTGCAAACAACAAAAGTTTCCTCCATAAGTCCACGCAACCACCCCGCCATCTCCCTCTCTCTCTACCTCTTCACAATATCTCTTTCTATCTCTATGAATCTTTCTCTCTCTACTCGTTTTTCTCGCTGAATTGCTTTGAATGGCATATGAGCCTCCTGCTGCTATTTATATGGAGGCCATAAAATAATAAGTGAGGCTTTTGTGCTATTCATATTTCAATGATATTTCACTGAAAACAAAAGATAAATTGGATAAAATTTAATTAAAATAAAAGTAGAAATATTTGCTTATATTCCATACCATTCGTATATATTTACAAATCTAATACAATTTTAATACTGTCTTGATATATACAAGTTTTCAATCCTAGCAATTGTTTGAATTTACAAATCTAACATCTAAATTTTAACTCACATATCATTTAGCTCCTTCTCATGATGTAATTTTGATTGCAAGAATTAATATAAATATGTAAGTGATTGGGAAATTGGTATTTGGGTCTCTGCCAAATATATATGAGTTAAAATTTAGCTTCAATTGAAAGTTAATGTATAGATATTATATGTAACATGTAATATTTAAGCTTAAGTGTAATACTAGAGGTGGTCTGCATATGTAGAGTAATCAATTATCAACTCAGCGTTGTACTAAAACCAAATACGTAATTTGGTAATTAAAGAGAAGTAAATAAAAGTCATCTAGATTTTTATGTGGAAAGCCCTGGAAATGGGAAAGAAACCATCGGGCTTAGTATAGTTGAAATAATCCACTATGAATGATGAGTACATAATATATATATATATATATATATATATATATATATATGAATATAATATTTTAATTTTGAAAAATGAGACTAACAATATCTCATTTATTTAATAGTTAAATAATCGAGCACAACCTCACAAGCAATACACCCTTTCTGAGGGATAGACATATCACTTGATAACGAGGCTCGATTAGACAAACTAAAGAATTTATGACATCTGTTTTGATTTGCGAACATTTTATATGTTGACTGACAAGTTTCCCTATCTAATATAAAGATTAGATAGGGTTTATATTACCTAGGTTCTTAAAACACCCTATAATCTTAAAACACCCTAGGTTTGGACATGCTCCCTATAAGGGTAAGTCTTTATAGTTAAATACATCTTAAATGATCGAAATCACTTAAGAAAACTCTCGATGATGATCAGAGGTACTTGTCTTCAAAAATTCAACGTGAAGGGTTTCAAGGTTGGACAGGGAAATCAAATGGGATAGAATCAAAATGGAAGAATTATTATTGAATCCAAAGGATGAGAAATGTAGGGGATGTCGCAGATCCTAAGGCGAACCTCAGTGATTTCTCAAACTATCCTAATATTTGGCTTCAATTTCGAAATCATATTATTTGATGTTTGAGTCCTGCCAATTTTATTTAATTTAGGGCTTAGTTTCACATGATCTTAATCATGCAAATAGCTTAGAAAGATATGAGGGTTTACGTCGTACCGAACGACAACTTCGGGTCTAAAAGTGAGTTAGGACTTATATTACACAATATGGTAATGCAAAAACCTTAAAAATGAGTGAGGATTTACGTCGTGCTAGAAGAACTACCATAAAAGCCTATGTCTTGTTTTTTTTTTAATTCTAAGGAATGGTTTAACTGATACATACTTGTTTTGTTGTTAGAAATCGTTGTCCTTCGTCTGTTGTGGTTTGCTCCAAGCTCCTCATCGAAGTAGTTGTTTCAAGGTTAGGTGTGTTATGTAATATGAGTTATGGTTGTATTATGTTTTGGTTTCATTTGTTATGAATTTTTAAGTATTTGGGGGGATTTTTAAGTTGAGTGATACCGATTAAGATCCTACGGTTCTATCATCCAGGCATCACTATTTTCTTTCAAATTAACTTAGTCCAAACGAGTTGTTAAACTCATTTAAAATGGAGAATTCTCGTTAGCAACCGTAGGTTACCTCATCTGAGAGATTCTCATAAATCCAAAAGGAGTGAATGAAGTGCGTTCATTATTTTGAAAGTGTATATTTAATTTTCAAAAGTGCATTTTTGTTTTGCATGTAGTGTAAAGCATGCATAAATAAAGTGTGCAATAAAGTAAATGTGACATAAAGTAAAGTAGTAAAAGCCGGTAAATACACTATAAAATGTGTACTTGGGCCTTTGCTACCGTTGTAAGAAGAGTCAGTACATAAAACATGGTATAGCAGTATGTAGAAAATTAAAATTTAAGAAATTTGCAGGACTTCGACATAGAGAAAACAAAACTTGTCGTACAAAAAAACCGGACGAACAAAGCAAAACACGTCGTGAGGAAAACGCGAGCAGGTAAAACAAGACCCGATGTCACTTATGAAAGACTGGGATGGAAAATAATACTTTGGTAAAGGTGGGGGCTTAGAGTTAGACTGTGTGCATTGACCTTTAGACAGAAGCTTCTGACCAAACAATCTTAGAAGGGCAAAGTCTAGCATAATCAAGATGACTAACCAGTAGACTTTCATATTTTGCATTCAAATTTTTTTTTATTACTTTTTCATGCATGTGGAGTTTCATTTAGCAATCAAAAGTAGTTGTGTTATGAGAAAACATATTTTTGGTTATGTATAAATATACTTGGTAAACTTAGACTATCCATGAGTTAATCATCCAGATCGGACTGAACTACCGACAACTTGAGAATGTAAGGGGTAATCTCTTATCAAATGTTGGTGAATAGTATCGTCTGTCCTATCCCCTTTCCCGAAGGATCCTCAGGGGTAGGAGATACTATTCTAACGCCCCACTTCGTATGCCTCGTTTAGCATGCATAACCATCATCATCATTGCCCTTAGTCAGCAAGACCTCCAATTTACACTCGCCCGGTGATCAATATGTGGCATAAATAAATTTCCCTAGTTACTCACAAGGGTTTGAATACCTAATTGTAGACTAATACCCCTTGAGCATTGGGTTATTAATGTAAGATAAATAGTGTCGGGTTATTTCTTATGATTTGTGATTTAAGGGTCTCGAGTCATAACTTGGTGGGTCATTAGAGATTTTTATTTTGATTATGTTGATTTGATGTTGGTGATTGTTGTGTTTTAAGGATTATTTTCTTGAACAAATCATAGTAATTCCAAGTGTCCTCTGAAATATCCAAAATCTCGCAAGGGGACCTGGAGAATGACTCCAGACAACCTTAGAATCTCTCGGATCATTTCAAGTTCATTCTTGGTTTCACTAGATTGTTAAGTTAATCATCCCATGGTGAATTACATTGTTCTTTGAATTGTACTCAATATGTTTTAATCAACCCATGAGTAGGTTAAGAGTTACTTGTCTCATTATGTTTGAGGTTTAGATGGGTGGTCACCCCAGGGGTGAGCTTAATCACTTAAAGGAATTTTACTCTTTCTTAATTGAACCTGAGCTTGTAGTGTTTTAGAGATGTTTACAATTGATTATATTATTTTTTTCTAAACCTTACTAAATGATTATGGATTAGGCCCAGTTCACTACTACTAAGCTCCAAGATATTGTAACTCAAGCCCCTCACATTAGAATCTTCCATACTTAATTAACTTCCAAATTACAACAATTTAAAAAATTACAAATTTACCTTCTATAGAAAATTACAAATTGACCTTCATTCTTACATGTCTAGCACCTTAAGAAAAAAAAAAATAGATACATGCATGTATACCACCCTATTCTCATGTATTTACATATCCAAAACCTTTGAAAAAAAATTTTATGCACATCTAACACCTAAACTTTTATGTTTACATGCATGCCTCTTTTAAAATTTTATGTATTTTCGTAGCTACCATCTAACTTATGTTTACATGCATGCCTTTAAAATTTTATGTATTTTCGTAGCTACCATCTAAATGAAAATATGAATGAAAACGAATGGATATGCCCACCACTTGATTCTTATGCCTTTGCATAATCACCTTTGAGAGTTTAAATTGGCAAGTGTTCTGAGATGCCCCAAGATCAAATTCTAATATTTCTGCATGAAAGAAATATATAAATTTCTTCAACTGTTTTGTATGTAACAATTTATGTATATTATGTTTAAAATTTATATATTTTTGCATGAAAAGGTAAATTTTTAATGCTATATATCAACAAATTAATATTTCTTAGGCATTGAGCTGAATAGTATAGTTGTTCTCCTAAAAGAAACATAACCACATTTTTCTGGAATCCTCTTTATCTCTGCTACCTCATTTTGCTCAATGATACAAACATTTTGCACATTCATTTGGTCAATATATGTTTTTATTAAGAAAACAATTTGCAAATTTTCACCATAAAAATAGAAAATTAGCCAACACTATACGCTTATAACTTGAACTGTTGTAAGCAAGTAATAAGTATTTTACTAAGTTCTCCTCTTTTATATAGACCAGACTTCATTATGATTATACTCAACATACATCAAACCTATAGAAGTAGAATCTATAATTACAACACTGACAGAAGATAACTTAATTGACAACAACAACAACAACAACAACACAATTTTCTCATCTCTTTTTCTTACAACTTTCAACTATTTCACTAATGCTCCATCCGCTTGAACTTCCCTCCCCCTGCACAAAGTCTATTGGAGCTAGATCTGGTGTGATCTCATTATGATCATCATCATCAAATACTTCCTCATCAGGTTGATCATAGGCATTCGTTTGTAAGTTCTCGGATTCGGTTAATACAAATTGTGATGGATCAGAATGGAATAATATGCTTGATATGTCATTCCCCTGCAACCGCACGTGCTCCACCTACAACACATTTCCAAATTAAATTCTCTTTATATATATCTATATTGCATGGATAGGGAGAATGAGAAATTGATGTTCCAAAAATTGTTGATTGTTAAGTGTCTAATTCAAATTATTACCTTGCAAGTAAGGCTGCAGTAGTGAAAGTAGTCATGAAGAATTTTGCCACATGTGCAACACTTGTTATTATTCCTCTTCGAAATGATAGATTGAGCTTGCGGTCTCAGACACAGTACTATCTCTCCTCTATAAGTATATGTCTGATAATGCAATTAAAAATATGTTAGAAAAAAACGATAATTTTTTTCATATATATATATATATACTTCATTTTGACAACATTTCATGCAAATGTAGAGTGACGTATTGTAGAAATAGAGGTTTATGTGCTAAATTTGTAAATACATAGGAATTGAGTGGTATGTATGGAAATCTTCCTACTAATCAATATATTAAAATCGTATATATATAAATAATGTTGAATTAAATTCATATATTTATAAGAGAAAAAAGAATAGAAATTGAATGGCACATTCATTACCCGGATGTGGGAGCAATCAATGAGTTCCTTGAGATCATCCAATTTGACTACGTCACAAAGTTTGTGACGTTTAACCTGAATTTAACGCGAGAAAAAGGAGGACATATGAGCAACATGTGAGATATTTGGATGAATGAATGATTGTCTGATTATCTATATTTCGCGAAAGACATATTTAACAGTGTTGACAATGATTTGATTAAATGTAAAATGTCATATTTACATAAAATGGTTAATAATAGAGAAAGACGACAAAAGGTGATAGATGTAAAATGAACTTAAGTGGTAAGTTACATGGTGCACATCTATATTATGAAGCAATTAGGAATTTTTTATAGGTAAAGCAGCAGCATCGATTCATAGCTGATAAATAGAATGTACAACACAGAACGAGAGATAGAGAGAGAGAGAGAGAAAAGCATGGACAAGTGACAAAAGAACATATAAACCTGAATGAGGCGGTGCATGAGGTGAGAGGGCTCACAGTAGTAGCAGATGCTTATGCCACAATGGAGGCAGAACTTATTCTTGTTGCGGCCAACATGAGTCCCGCAAAAAACTATGAATGTTTCCTCCAAAAGTCCACGCAGCCACCCCGGCAGCCCTACCTCTCCCGCCATCTCTATCTACCTCGTCACAACCGAATTGCTTTGAATGGCATACGGTCGGTCGATGGAGGAAGGAAGAAGGATAATTTATATAGAAGAGGCTATAAAAGAATAGGAAAGTGAGCCCCTAGAGTTACTCACTTTTTAATGATATTTAACTAACCAACAATAGATGATTTGGATAAAATTTAGTTACAATAAAACGAGAAGGATTTGCTCACATTTCATACTATTCATATATATTTACAAATATAATACCTCAAAATTATTAATATTGTCCATATATATATATATTAAAATTATTTTTTTTCATGTAAATATTTTAATGTAATTTCTATAATAGGAAGTAATATAATTATGTAAGCTATTTGGGCTTAGTCTTTCAACCGAGAAGTCTTTGATTCAAGGACTTGTATGTAGGGGTGTAAACGAGCCGAACACGGGCGAGCCATGCTCAGCTAGTGTTCGGCTCGTTTATATTTCGAGCTCAAAAAGTGTGTTCGTGTTCGGCTCGTTTGC